GAGGAAATGCTAGCAGAACTCAGGACAGAATTAAGGGCTCATTGCTCCTAAGAGGATAGTCATTCACTGCTCCGTGTGTGGGGGGAGGGCGGGGGAAGGAGAGAATGAGAATGAATGAATGAGAAGGACACACACAGCCAGAGAAAGAGAAAGAAAAAAAGGACAGAGCAATCAGATTTAAGTATAGGAAGCGAGTAGCCATAGCAGCTACCATATCAACAGGGAAAACAGAACAAGACTCATATTCGCATCTCAGATACCTGGCTACTCAACGTGTCTAGGGACCAGCTGCATGAGTATCACTCAAGAGCTAGTAAGACATGCAGAATCACCACCCCACTCCAGACCTGGTGAATCAGAATCTGCATTTTAGTATATCCCCTAGTGAGTCACATATGCACAGTAGTGTTTGAGAAGCACTGAGTGCAGCTCTGCTTTTAAAGTAACATGACATGAAAACTATCCTTTGATTCATCAAGGAACAATTTGTGCCTTATGCCTCTTAGCATTATAAATTATGAACTGATGTTCACATTTGATATAATAATGTGATATCTAGAACTCATATTTAGAATCCACTATGGGAAGATAAACTGATCTTTGAGATCACTGGTAACTATGTAATATGTGTCTTTTGTGCTTAGATACAGATACTGTCAAAAGTTTTCCTATGAGAAGAAGAATAATTATAGAAAAGCGAATATCTGTCAGAATTATGATAAATGGAATCATTGATTTTTTTATTGATTCTGAGTAAATTTGTTTCCCCTTCTAGTTTATTCAGGTTATTACCATCTGGACCAAAAATCAATGACTGGCATTGCTGTAGGCGTTGGCATAGCCTTGACTTGCATCCTCATCTGTATTCTCATCTTGATATGCCGAAGTAAAGCCAGGTGTGTTTCCATTGCTAGAGATGTTGAGATGGTTAAAAAATCATTTAAATTACAGTAACCACAAGAAGTAAATTGAAACCAAGTGCCTTTTGGAGTAACTGGGATTTTCCATTTTAAAATAAATGTATTACTTTAGTTCTTACAACCATAGAGATGCACTCACTTTGGAAAGATTATTTTCTTGCCATTTGAAAAATTTACTGTGCCAATAAAATATTGTTAAATGAGGACCTAGTTTCTTCATTTCCTTAGTATTATGAGAAACACAAAGTATATCCTTCAGTTTAAAAAACATGACGATCTGATGTTTTTGCTGATTGAGAGGATTCCTTACTGTCTGGAACATTTTCCTATTTGACTAGCCTGAAATGCCTGAGCCACTGAGAACTCCACCCACACCACCACAGGACATATGGTTGGGATTCTCAGGACACGGATTAAAACAAATGTAATAACAAGGGATTGATTCTCTATAAACTCTGTCGGGCAGTCTTATCTCTAGTTTGACTTCAGCTAAATTTTCAGCATTCAGTGAATTGTCTATAACTAACCTTTTGTATACTTTGGCTTTTGCTTTATTTTCTTAAGGTTTTTTTTTTCTTTTAATTAAATAAAGCAAAGTCAAATACATACCATTTTTAGGTAATGTGTATCAATGGAATCCATCCATTAGTTTAGGTTGTTCAGAGTTTACCCTATATGTGTTTGGTACTTGTGCATAGAAACATACTCAGAAAACATGTGAATGAAGAGTTAGTTCTAACACCTTTTTTTTGTATATTGAACTGGCTCAGTTTTACTGTCCAAGTTCCTCACTTTAAGAATTTTTTATAAAATCTTTATGCACAGTATTGTAGCAATGCCTCAATCTTGCAGAAGTGCGACTGTAAATTTGCAATCGTTAATTGACAAGTGAATTGTGATGTTAGTGTGATAATCTGCAGACCTGAAGGAGAACATGTAAATTAAAAATTAAGAATTTATGCACAAATTATAAGTAATCCACAATCATGAAAAATAGTACTTTGTAAATATTAAGGTTCTTATTAAAGATTTGTAAAAAGTAACTATATAAGCAGATTTTGAGGCAAAAAGAAATAAATAAGCTGCTTCAAATCATAAACATTTTCAGTAGTGAGTGGGAGTTGATGAAATCTAATACTCAATTTCTAAAGATTTTTGAGAAGCAAGCATTAAAGAACTCCTTTGTATGCAAGTTGTGATTATAGGCCAAATTTGGTACCTTTGCCTGTATATTTTATGAAATTAGATTTCCGTTTCTTGCAACATTTCAGGAGATCATCTGCTTCCAAGATGGTACAGAATGAAACTCAACCATTATCACATACCAGTGCCTCCCTAGCCCGTGGAAATGAGGTAGGAAAGAACCTGGAAGGGGCTGTAGAAAATGAAGACTCCTTAACGCCAATGATGATGCCCAGCAGTTTCATCGATGCAAAGGTACTCTAAGCTGCAAGACCTTTTTGCTGTGTAATTCTTCCCTCCATTCATTGTCCCTTTATATATAAAATTCACTTACCAAAAATCGTATGTCAAATATATTATATCCATACTCCACTTAATGAAATGTGCAACAGTTTCACCAAGATCTTTCCTTACATAAAATATTTGGGAAGAAGAAGATAGGGATAGATAAAAGATAAAAGAATAAAAGATGAAAGAGATATAGAAAAAAAGAGAATGTAGCATATGTTCAATTAGGTGGGACTATATGGAGTTCACCTGTCTTAAATAAGGATACCCAGGTCATTAATCTATATTTATGATAGATTGAATCGCCATGTCTTTACTGGGTGAACTATTTTTTATTAATCTATTTTACATTTAGTTTGGCTGATTTTTTTGAACTGACACTAAGAACATGCCAGGTATGAATGTCATTTTTAAAAATATGGAACATCTCAATAGATGTCTCAAGATCTTTCTCTTTATGGCCAGAGGAAGATAGATACAGTGAAGAAAGTCATTGGGGGATATTGCCTCATGTCCTTTCCACTATATATAATAATAGTACAGTGATAAGCATTATGAACACAACTGAAAATTATTTTTAGTCACAGTGCAACATTTGATAGTGTGTTTTATTATAATAGCTCTCGTAACCAATGCGCTACAAATCAGGTACCAGTAAACTGCAGCCAAGCCCTGGCCAGCCCATGGCCTTTTTTTGTATGGTCATCCCCTGAGCTAAGAATGTTTTTTATACTTTTAAAGGGTGGTTTGAAAAAAAAAAGGAGAAATGCTACAGGGGCCATGTGTAGCCTGCAGGGCCTAAAATATTTACTATCTGGCTCTTTACAGAAAAAGTTTGCCAAATTCTATAAATTATTTTTACCCAACCCTTCTCTAAAATTTAGAAAAATAAAAATATAACAAAATTTCAGCCAATTTTGATATTAAATAGTATACAATTATGTTTAACAAATGCAATCTACTTGTTTATAGCACAGTGCTATAGACTATCTATATTATGGGTAAATAGTAATGAATTGATTGCTTTGTACTCCCGATATCTTTTTTTGTTTGCAACTTAATTCAGCTTTTATTTGCTGATACAAATGTAAGCCATTCAACTTATTTCAAATTAATCTAGAATATTTTTAAATAAGCATAAAAAGCACTAAAATACACTGTCGTTCTGTTATTACTAACTTGGACCTAGGCATGAGAAAGGATTGGGGAGAAGCAGAGTGGGGAGGAAGACAAGGAGAAAAAGAGAGAGAACCCAGAGTGAAAGGAGGCAGAGCCAAATGGAGGCCTGTTGTAAAGCCAAGAAGCCATTTTGGAGGACAGATCAGATCTCTACATCCACATGGGTTAGCCTAAGAGTTGATGCCCCATCTGTTGCCACAACTGCTTTAAAATTTTTTAAACATGTGGAAATGTTAAAACAATAGCATAATGAATGTATAGATAATTGTCAATATCTTGTCATACTTCTATATCTCCATATATTGTTTGCTGAACCATGTGAAAATAAGTTTTGAAGTTATTATACTTCACCCCGAATACTTTAGTATATATCGCTCTCTTAAAGATAAATCTATTATATCTTTTTGATCAGCAGCAACTACCCTGAATTTGTTGTATGCTGCTTGTATAAAAAAAAAGTAACGTCTGTGATTCTTTCTTCCTTTTAACATTTAAAAATTTTGTGTACTACTTGTGATAAACTGAAATCTATAATATTTACATTTTCCCCTTTTCTTTCTCCAGGGAGGAACTGACTTGATAATTAATAGTTATGGTCCTATAATTAAAAATCACTCTAAGAAAAAATGGCGTTTTTTCCAAGATTCTAAGAAGATAAAAGTTGAGCAGGTAACCTACCTAAATGAGAAAAAATCTTCGGCAACCCAAAGTATTTTGAAATGATAACTAAAAAGAAAGGAAGATGTAAATGAATGCTTCATTATTAATTTTCGTGTTCTTTCTGGATGTTGTTTTATTAATTTGGGGCATGACTCTACAGAAAGCCATGGGGAATGATCACTGAAATGACAATTAGAATAGTAATTAGAGCTGTGGTTTTGGTGGGGAGTGGAAGGCAATGGAGAAAGAAATGGGGCAGGAGCATGCATTGCCCCATCATAGAGGAAGGCTTTGACTCGTTACTTACCCCAGTAACTCTGAGATGCTCCCAGTCCTCAGTGGGGAACCACTGACCTAGACAGTCCCTTTATGATATTGACCTTTCACCCATTACTTGAACAGTTTCCTATCTCAGAATATATAGAATACATAAAACCAGATTTATTATTTTTCAGGAGCATGCTATCATCACTGACAGTGTTTTATGTATTTTTGCCCAGCCTCAAAGAAGATTTACTCAATCAGTCTGCTTTTACCAGCCAGGCACAACTGTGTTAACTAGTGATGAAGACTCCCCCAGCTCCCCAGGTCAGACAACAAGCTTCCCAAGACCCTTTGGTGTTGCAGCCGATACTGAGCATTCGGCGAATAGCGAAGGCAGCCACGAGACTGGGGATTCTGGAAGGTTCTCCCACGAGTCCAATGATGAGATACATCTGTCTTCAGTGATAAGTACCATACCTCTTACTTCTGATTCCTTCACTGTCAGTGATTCCGGTGGGGATCCCTCGACGAGGAAGTGTGAAGACCCTGCAGTGCCATCAGATGCTGAGCAAACTTCCTCTTCAGTTCTGCAGCCACCTTCTGCCATTCTAAGCTTTGATAAAAATGATTTTCCAATCTAGACAGCTATGTTCAGGTATTCTCACCTTTAATTCTGTTCGAAGGACAATGAACAGGGAGCCAAAGCCTTTGTGAAAATCTTGATGTCTTATTGGGTATTTCAGCCTTTTTTTGAATGTGGTTTTTTTTTTTAAATTTTTAAACTCACGTATTTTGAATGTTTGATTGTCAGCAATGTGAAAAGACAGTCAAGATATTTGACTGGAATATGAAACTATATCACTGGAGCAAAGGGAAGGCTTTTGAAAGCCCCTTTGCTAACTATCTACCTCAGTTTGCCAGATGGCAAACTCAGAAGACAACTTTGTTACCTCGTTTGTTGTGATAGTTTTATCTCAGCTACATAACCAATGATACTTCCTAGTAGCTTTTTGTTTTCATTGATGTATGTGTAATGTGTGTGATCAAAGGAGTCATATAGGTAGATGAGTAAGAATGTTTATCTGAAGCTCTGATTTTTAAAAAAAACTATAACATCTGCATGATTTGTATAATTTAACACTACCTCTGGCTGTGAGGACTAACAAGAGAAAAAGTGGGGCTGTCGATTTTAGTGAATGACCAAGACAAAAAGTGTGTCTCTTGAGAATAGAACTATTTGGTAACATTTAGAGAATACCGTTGCTTCAAGGGCCTTTATGTTTTGGGCGTTAAAGTCTGAGTGCTTTATCTGCTGTTTCCCAAACCTCAGCCTGCCTAGAGCTGTGCCTTTTTTACCTTCCCATTTGCCTGACAGTTAGCCAAAGGCTGCACTGTCTAGTTTGCAAAGCATCCTCAACATTTCCAGAATTAGTTGCAAAACTCCATGTGGGAAACAGATTTTTAAAGAGCATGGGTTAGGATTTTGTTTTGTTTTTAATCCCAGCTTGGCTTAAAGGGGTAAAGAAATTTCATAAAATATTAAGACTGGAGATAAATTTAACAGTAGACAGTAAAATGAACGTGAGGTTATCATGGTAACAGTGCCTTCCATTATATATTATGAAATTCTTTGCCTTATATCTTTTTAATATTCATGAAGTTGTTAAGGACAGGAGTACAGAAAGTTGCCTTAAGAGTGTCTTGGATTTTATCACTAACTATTTTGATGTACAGTATCTTATCAAAGCATTTTAGTTTGTTATCCTGCAGATTTTGTTTAGGGATGAGTATTCAGAGTTCTCCCATCTCACTTGTATTTTCTTGAATTCTTAAGAGAATTTGGTACTCTTTAATTTTCCTTCAGTGTCAATGCTGTGAAGGAGGAATGCTAACTCCAGGAGTGAGTTAATCCTCTTGCTGGTTCGAAATCAGCAAACTGTTTACTCAGCCACACAGAATAGGCCTTCTCAGTCATGAGAGTTACCTACTAGGTGTCCAGCAGTGGGAAAGGATAAAAAATTAAACACGAGGTGTAGAGAGGGGGCCCTATTTCCTTTTAAAAGTATTGTTTCAAATTATCTGGAAACAACTTTGAGCCTTACTTTAAAAGGAATCTAAATTGTTTTCCCCTTGAAACTTTTGGTTTATAGAGGGAAGTTATGTTAAATGGCGTTATAAAATCAAAAGAACATTACTGATAATAGTCCCCCTCTTGTATCTCCTATCCCAATGTCTGATGATACAACATTTTTTATTGTTTTTTAATCTGTATTTTTGTGCCAAACTGGATATGTTCAGAAGCAGACCAACATTAAGTGCTAGCAGCCACTTTTGGACAAAATTCAAAGTCCCCATTTAATTATCTAAGTATGGGCTTCACAACAAAACAAAAAAAGCAGAGCTTTAGGTGAACAATCTGAGGCAAGGAAAAATGCTGCTCCTGCCTTTATAGCTCCTGTTTTATACTACCTCCTTTTAAAGTTATTCTAGTGTTATTTTTTTTCCTGTACTCAGGGAATATTTTGTTACTTTTGAGCTGCCTCATGGAAGCATGAGCAAATTGACAGGGTATGGCGTTTTTTGGTTTGTAAGTAGAAGTATGTGGGGCCTACTTTTATCAGTATCTAAATTTAAGGAATATAATGAGTTCATTTATTTTTTTAACTTTCATTAAAAGGCAAACAAAACCTAAAGCTGAAACATCATCTGTCATGGTTATGGAAGGCACGTCTAGGACTGTATAAATTTGAATCATTTTTAAAGCCTAGAAAGATGATCTGAAGTCTATGAGGAAAGTATTTTGTTTGTTTTTTGATGAATAGGCCCATAGTTATTGTAGATCTTTAGGCTATAACTATTTGCTAATTATTTACCAGTACATTTTTTACTTTTTCACCTTTTCATTTTGTTCTTATACACATTTTTTCATAATCTGTTACCAAAGAATTTTCAGTAGAAAATGAAAATTTGACACTAATTTCCCCCCAGACTGAATTAACTAGAAACATCTATAGGTAATGAAGTTTATACACGTAGTTACTAACCCAAAATAATAGGGTTTATATTGATTGTTGTAGTTAAATAGATTAGTAATTTTAACTACCTTATTGTTACCAGAGCATTTAAAATAAGTTCTTTACCAGCAGAACATTCCAAAGAATTTCAAGTGTAATTTTTTTTTCTTCAGCAAGTAAATCCTCAACTATACAGTATTAGAGTAAAATATTTTTACATTGTTGAAACTACTTGTTGGAGAGAAAAAAAATCTTTCACCAAAGATAAATCTTTTGGTCTCATTGAATAAGATATTTAGCGTACTGCAAAGACTTCTTTTTACTTGGCCAAAGCTAGCTTCTTTGAAACTTTAGGTATGAAATAGTAACTAAAATGTGCAGGTTTCACTTCTCTCTCATAGTGATGTTACTTTATGGTATTTCACTCCGAAGGGACTAATATGCAAATGGTAACTATTTTCTTTTCCAAAGACTTATTTGCTATAAGTACTGATACATGCATGTCATTTTTATGCCAAATATTACAAGATACTGCTCATCAGTATTTTCATACCAAAGACCATTAAAATATATAGATTAGCCTGTAAGTAAGTAAAGATGAGCAGATTTGAAATACATTTATTTAGAAGCTGATAGGGAATCTAGCTTGAGTAGCAAAAGATATCAAAGGGCTAAGTTTACATATAAAAAGCAATACAGTTATACTGGTATTTATCAGTGTTTTTATTCAAGTACTTTTTGTCAGCAATTTAAAAAAAGAAAAACCAAAGATATTTAAGATTACCTCCACATATAGGCAAATTTAGTTGTACATTAAACTGTTGTTTCTTGTTTTTATGTCAAACAAACACGTCTCTCCAGAACCCATCTGTATACAAGTAGCATACATAGAGACTTTCCATTAAATCTGCTGATTCAGCCACAGGATGTTTTTGCCAAATGATGTGATATTTTCCTAAGCACCTTGAGTGTGAGATGTCAACAGAAATATCAGCAGGCTTTCTCATTGCAGAGTATTATGGCAATCTCTGAACTAACCTATGCAGTCTTCCTCCTGCTCAAAGCATTACCTGGTTAACTCAGAAGGCTTGAGGGCAGTCCCTTAGTAGTAGGGATGTTCTCATCTCTGCAGAGCACTCAGACATCACAGGCAAACAAATCATATCACTGTTTGAGTGAGCTATATACTCTGATAGATGTGCTCTTTAAAGTTGTCCGTAAATTGAAATATTTTAATTACATTAAGGGAGCCTGGTATTTCAAACTTTAGTGGATGGAACAAAAATCTTTTTTTATGAAATCTGAGGTTTTTTATTTTGATTAGCCTAAAATTCAGACTATAGTTTTATCCACTAAGTGGCTTTAAAAAATGAACTTTGGCACACCAGGGAAATTAGATCCTCAGTGAAATGCCTTTTATTTGCCTTTGCTTCAGATACAAGCAGTGCCAAAATTGGGAACAATGACAGTGATTTACATTAGTTTGTCTTGGCTTTGTTAAGGACTTCTGCCAGAAATTTGCTCATATTGATGACTCAGGGTCATTGTTCAAGTCCATATGAAGACACCTTTGTAAACAATTCAATGTCACAAAAATAAAATTGAGAGCTTTTTTTTTTAATGTAAGAATATCCAGATGTGGCTCCACGTTAGCAGTGGCTATAGTGATTTACATATATGTTTATATTTCATTGAATGTAAATTTTGAATACTGAATGTAAAAAAAAATTCCAACTATATTGAAAGAGCCATGATCTTTTAAGTCTGTATTTTGTAGACTTCATTTCTGACAGTTTGCCACATGGGTCTCTAGTCAAATTGCTTTGATTTAATTAATAGTCATAATAATTTTTGTGGCCTGTGAGCAGAATAGAGGGTTCTGGAGATCACCATACACAACCAGTTGATTGTGAATTTCATTGATATTTAGAAGAACATATACATAGAATTCTGTGTTAAATTGTTTTATGCTCAGGATATAAGATCACAGGCTAATGCAATGTATATGTTTGCAGGCTTTAATCTTCTCAGGCTGTTTCCTGTTTTAAACCATTGAAGGTGTTTGAGATTTACATGACAGTCTTGCATTTTTACCAGACAGATACTGTATTATTTTCTTATTACTGTTGTAACAAATTACCACAAACTTAGTGGTGTTAAAACAATACAAATTTATTATCTTCCAGTACTACAGGCCTGCAGTCTGATAGGTCTCACTGGGACAGAATCAAGGCCTGTTTCCTTGTCTTTTCTGGCTTTTAGAGGCTACAGACCCACATCCTTCTCCCTCCATCCTCAAAGCCAACAATGTAGCATCTCTCTGACCCTGCTTCCATTACCATATATATCTCTTTTCTGACCCCAACCAGGAAAGGTTCCTCAGTTTTAAGGACTCGTGATTAGATTGACCTCACCTGGATAAACCAAGATAATCTCTTCTCAAAATCCTTAATTTCATCATATCTGCAAAGTCCCTTTTGTCATGTGTGGTGACATATTTAGAGTCCAGGCATTTGAACATGGACTTCTGTAGGTGGCCATTATTTTCTCTACTACAGATTTATTATTTCTTGAGAATTCTGATTCCCTTAAACTGTCTATAGCATTACAGAGATTAGAAGTCTGAAGTCATGTGCTCCTGGGCATGTTCAGAATTTCAAAACTATGAAAACCTAGCATATGTACACATTAAACTTTCTAAATCACTTGTAAAAACAGTTCAGCTTTAAACTTTTTGAATATATGTTTCATAAAGTAACATCTCAGTTCTGTGTGTTTAACAGAAATTTTCCTAAATATTTGGCTCTAATTTAATGGAATTTCATGAGAAAGTTTTGAAAACTGTTATTATAGTTGAACTTTCTCTTTTTCTCTTTCTCGAGACTTTCACAGGGACTCAGAGTAGATAAACAGGACCATGATCGAATTCATTCTTCATTTTCTTCTAAAAGCTTATTTGTAACCAGCAACCTTTCTGCCTTTTAAATCCAATATTTTGTCTAGCTTCACCAGCTCCTGACTCTTTGGTTTTCCGTTTGATAACCCACCAACTTTCAGCAAGAGCTTCTACTTACCTTGTCAGCATAAATAACTCCTAGGAGATTTTATCTTTCTTGCCATTCTTCTTCTTTGATTCCAATTGTCCCTTTCCCTGGAAAGTTACAGAGTCCATAGCTCTAGTTTGTTCTAATTCCTAGATCATTGCAAGTCAAGTCTTTCAGTTTGGAAGGATAGTTTCTAATTCTACTCTAATTTTCAGCATTTCTTCAACTTAAGAGATAAAGCTTCCTCCACTATGAGGTAGAGACCATGATGATATTCTGAGTAAGGATAAGAATGCTGATTGTTTTTCAGCTGCTTCTGACTATAATTTCTAAGGAAAAATAATGCAGTTTACTAAACAAATACAATGTGCCCAGAATGTGTTTCATCCCTCTAAACTGCTACATTTTGCAAAGCAAATATTATTCCCATTTTAGAGATCAGGAAACTGAGGCTTAAACATGTCTAACTTGGGCAAAGATCACAGTTAGTGGTTTAGCCAAGATATAAACCCAAGTTGCTTCCAACTCCCAAGTTTATAGTATTCCTAATAAAATGCATTTTCTCAGCCAAGAAATGATAATTAATTACCCAGGCTCTTAGTATCAACACAACCTGTCCATGTAGTAATAGCCAGCCAACAAAGAGAAGTCTGTCTTATTTATAACCATCTATTCACATGAGGAATTTTGGACGCTGAGTTGTAACTCACCTTTGTCATCTCCTAACCTCCTTCTTTCCTCCTTTAAAATCTCCAATTTCTCTTATCCAAAATTAAGCTGAAAACTGATGCTTGTGCCTCGAGTTGCATGAGAAATAAGGTAGGCATGGTTTCTGGAGTCCTTATCTATTCAAGCATTTCCTTATTAGACTATATGTTCAGAAGTGAATTTTATCTTTTGCAATTTTCCCACAGTCCCCGTATCTAAATAAGAATTTATTAACTGGAGAAAGCCAGGTGTATAACCAGTCATACTTCTTTGCTAAATCTGAAGAGTCAGCAGTTTTTATGAATGCAACCTAATTAATTACTCACACTAATTTAGGAGGGAGCAAAGTTGAGGGAGAATCATAAAGTGGAAGAGTGTAGCATGAGTCATTGGAGCACCTAAATTCTAGTCTTTGACCATTTTGAGACCTTTTTGGGACAAGAGTTCTTAACCTATTTTTGTTCCTCTCTATCCATGAAATAAAGATAATTTTTTTGTCTGCAGAATGAAGCAGTAGTACTTTGAAAACTCAAAGAAAACTCAAATGTAAATAATTATAATCCCAAAATAATTTTTGTGAGGCTGTGAAACATACCTTAACTGATTTTTTTTTTGGTTTATGGGTCAGCCTTTCCATTTACATTTTGCCCATGCTAAAATGAAAAATGTTTGTGTTTCCTGTACATGCACCCAAAAAATCTAACAGAAGAAAGGGTTGGTAAAAGATATAGAATGAAATTTAAAAACTAATCTGTAATGTAGGTAAATCTATAAGAGGAAATGGGGATTTACAGTACTTTTGGGAGTGCTTTACAGGAAATCATTTTTCACCAAGTTAATCTTTCATTTTAAAAATATCTTGGCTTTTAAAGATTTAAGGAAATAGTCAAATATCCCGAGAGGGGTAGATAAGTAAGGAGAATGTTCATTTTTAGGATTCTTCTTTAACAGATCTATTTTTTTCAAGATTATGGAACATTTTAACATTTCTTTAAACTATTTGGAATAAATTTTATATAGGGCAACACCTATTGGCACCTATTCTAATTTACTCAAGTCTACCTTTAAGGCTTACTGGGAAGAATTATATGATTATCTTTTTTCAGAGAAAAGAAATATTTTCCCTAACTTTTCTTTGCACCATCCAGAATCACTCTTAGTAGAATCCATGAGATTATACTAAGATTCTGAACACTTTTGCAGATTTATTCAAGCTATATCTTGTTAAGTAGTTCATGGTATTAGACACAGTCTTAACTTATAAACTTTATCTTTAAAAATTTATGTTACAGAAGTTTATTTTTCTACAAAACTGTCTTTAAAAACACCAGCAAAAATAATAAAATTTTGGCTAAAACATTCTTTCTCCTGTTTTTACAATCTGTACATCTATTTTCTTTGCAAATGAAAATGATTACTGATGATTATTAACTTGAGCCTGTTGCAGGAATTGCAAAGCCTGAATATATACATACATTGCCTTAGCCTATCAGTAGAATAGATGATATATATTAAGTTTGTCTGTTTGTTGCTGTTGTTGGACAAAATTTCATGTCTTTGTATGCATGATTTTTTTTCCTATTTTTTTTTCAAAGATGTGAATTAGATGAAAGCGTGGGAGCCAGTTATATTATTTCATATTATGGGTGTTCTGGATCCTTTTGCTCTATATACCATATTCTTGTAAGGGCAGCATTTGCAGACTTGCTAATGGACTCTAGAGCTGAGCTATTTTAATTTTATACTTGACTCAGGGGATCAGCTCTGTGAACTCCATTGCATGAAGAAAGCTAATGTTTGCCTTGATTTTGAATGTACCTTTTTAATGTCTTCTTAAAACATTTTTTGTTTAATAATGTGGGTTTTTTTCCTTTTTCTAGCTTCATGGTAAATATTGCCTAGTATTTTTCCCCTCCCCAGGGTAGTTTATATACTATCCTACAGGTCATGCCAAAAATGAATAAAAATTTAAATGCCAAAATGTTTATGAAACTGCTGTCTAAATACTGATTGATTGCACAGTTTAAATAAAATTTTCCTTAGTTAAAAAAGAAAAAACCCTTGTTTTCTTTTACTCTTCAGTTTTCTTTTGGGGAATGGAAAATGAAAACTTTCAATGTATAGAATGATGGCTTTTATATCCTAGGATGGGATGATTATAGAGTCTACTCCAAGCAGTAGGAATAGAGCCTGTTTAAGCTATATAAGAATTATTTCATCTGGCATTTACTGAATAGCAGCAAGGAAATAATAATTTTCCTATTCCAGTACATGGTTGCTTACCTTGAACTAAATAGTAGGTAGCATAAAAGTTATGGACTCATCCAGATAGACACAGTTCTAATTGAGGTAAGAATTTTTGTTTTTTAAATATTATTAAAAAATGGTCAAGAGAATATTGAAAACCTTCCCACTAAAAAAAAAATTAGAAATAATAGATAAAATATAACTTAAACAAGCTTGTTAAGATAACTATTAAAAAAAAAAACCTCCTAATTTAGGAAATGAAAGGGGAATTGAAAAACAGAACAGTAACTTCTTGAAATGACATTGTGCTGACTGTGAAGAATATAAAAGAATTAAAATGTAAGAGAATAAGAAACTATATATTTTTTAAAAGAACAAGTATATTGGAAAAAGAAATTAATACAATTTTCAGAAATAAAAAAATGCATTTTTGAAAATCTGTTAAATCACAGATCAAGTACACTGAAGGAATATTCTAAAACTGGAATTTAGATATAAGGACATTATTCAGGATAATTTGGCACAGAGAAATAAACAAAATATAAATAAAAGAAGGTAAACAGAGAAGATTCAAAATACATGACAGCCATTCTTAAATGAAAGACTAAAGAAAGTGAAGGATAAGCAATATTCAAAGAGAAAATGACTAATTTATGAAATCCTCAGATTCAGGAAGCACAAACCTCAATCTATAAATACACAAATAAGTCCATACCAAAACATTTCAGTGAAACTAAAGAACATCGAAGACAAAGAGAAGAACTTAAAGGAAATTAGAGGAAAAAAAAAAGATTATATAGATTACGCTAAGAAGATTTCTCAGTGACAATAAAAGAAGCAAGATGGTGGGATAATATCTTCAAAACATTGCAAAGGAAAATAACTACAATATGCAGCTGTATATCCAGATAAACTCTCATTTAAATGTTAGGATCAAATAAACGTAATTCTAGATAAAGATTGAGAGATAATACCACTCATATACACTTGCTAAATAAACAATAAAGGATGTAATTTAGGAAGAAGGAAATAGAATCCACAAGGAAGATAGGAGAAGCAAGAAGCAATGATGAGCAAAAAAGGTCGTAAGTAGTTCACAGTGTTAGAATACAACAGGGATGAATTTTGAAAACATGCTAAGTGAAAGAACCCACTCAAAAAAACCCCACATATTGTTTAATTTCATTTACATGAAATGTTCAGAATAGGCATATCTATAAGAGACAGAAAGTAGGTTAGTGGTTACATAGACCTGCAAGGTTCCAGGGAATGGGAAATGACCACTAATGGGTTCAGAGGTTTATATGGGGGTGATGGAAGTGTTCTAAAATCAATTGTAATGATGGTTGCACAACAGTGTGAATATACTAAAAATCACTGAATTATACACTTGAAATGGGTATATTGTATGATATATAATTATATCTCAATAAAGCTGTTTAAAAAAAAAGCCATGATGAGCAAAGACATAAAGAAACAGGTAAATCTAAATCAGCATTAACTATGTACAAAAATACTATTAACTAATTTTATGTGAAAATAAGGTAGAACTAAAACACTAGACAAAATAAGCCATAAGACTGGAAGAAAAATGAGCAGAGACAAATTATTCTACTATTCTTTTATTAAATAGTTTTATGTTAAAAATTATAGAGTGAGTGCTAAAATAATCAAAATAGAATGTATTCTAAATCTATTAGGCAGAAAGTGAAAAAAACATGATCAGTTAATAGAAGGAAGGGAAGAAAATGGAATAAAATTTAAAAATAACCCTAAGAGAAAGAACAGTAATGTGATAAGAAAAATATAACTTTAGTTATTAAAAAAAAAAGTAAAACTACTGCCACTTTAAAGATTGGATAGAAAAAGAAAATCTTTATGTTATTGCTACTTAAAACATAATGACCCCAGAATTCAGCAAAGTTGTATGGTACAAAATCAACAAAACTTACTTTAAAAAGCAATCTCATTTACAATAGCATCTCAAATAAAATACTTAAGAATAAATTTAACCAAAGAGGTAAAAGACTTTTATACTGAAGACTACAAAACATCGCTAAAAGATATTATATATCTAAATAAATGGAAACGCATCCCATGTTAATGGGTGTTGAGATATAATACTACCCAAAGTGATCAAATTCAATGTAATCCCTATCGATATTCAAATAGCCTTTTTTTTTCTTTTACAGAAATGGGAAAGCCAATCCTCAAATTCACATGGAATTGCAAGGGGCTCCAAATGGCTAAAACTTCAAAGTCAGAGAGAGGACTCACATGTCCCAATTTCAAAACTTACTACAAAGCTATAGAAATTAAACTTACTACAAAGCTATAAAAATTAAAATAATATGGTAATGGCATAAGGACCAATGGCTTATAGGCCAATGGAAGAGAACTGAGAGTCCAAAAATAAATTCATATGTCCATGGGCCATTGATATTTGTCAAGGCTTTAAAGTCCATTCATTGGGGGAAAGAACAGTCTCTTCAATAAACAGTGCTGAGGCGACTGGACTGCCACATGCAAAAGAATGAAGTTAGACTCCTACCTCACACCATATACAAAAATTTACTCAAAATGGATCAATGACCTAAATATAAAAGCTAAAACCATAACTCTTACAAAAAAAAAAAAAAAACATAGGTGTAAATCTTCATGACCTTAGATGTAGCAATGGCTTTTAGGATATGACATCAAAGCACAAGTAACAACAAAAAAACATAAACATAAATTGGACTTCGACAAAATTAAAACTTATGTTCATCAAGGGACATTATCAAGAAATTGAGAAGACAACCTACAGATAGGGAAAAATATTTGCAAATCATATCTGATAATGGTTTAATATCCAGAACATTTAAAGAACTAAAACTCAACAACAAAAAGACCAACAACCCAATCTAAAGGTGGGTAAAGGAGTTGAACTGTCATTTCTTTAATGAATATACAAATGGCTAACAAGCACATGAAATGATACTCAACATCTTCAGTCATTGGGAAATGCAAATCAAACCACAATGAGTTACCACTTCACACCTACTAGGATGGCTATAATAATTTTTTTTAATTGAAGGAAAATAAATATTGTTAAAGATGTGGAGAAATTGGAACCCTCATACATTGCTACTTGGGAACATAAAATGGTCCAGCAACTGTGGAAAACAATTTGGGTTCCTCAAAAAGCTAAACATATAATTATCATATGAGCCAGCCATTCCACTGCTAAGTATATACCCAAAAGAATGAAAGGACTGAAACAAATATTTGTACAGCAGTGTTCATTTGCAGCATTATTCACAATAACCAAAAATGGGAACAACCCAAGTGTCCATCAATAGATGAATGAATAAACAAAATGTGGCACATCTATACAATGGACTATTTAGCCACGAAAAGGAATAAAACATTGATACATACACAACATGGATGAACCTTGAAAACATTATGCAAAGTGAAAGAAGCCAGGCACAAAAGACCATATATTATGTGATTCCATTTATATGAAGTGCAATGTCCAGAGTAGGCGAATCCATAGAGACAGAAAGTAGATTAGTAGTAGCCAGGGGGTGAGGAGGTTGTGGGGGCTGAGGTGGGGGGAGCAATAGAATGTGACTGTTAACCAGTAGAGGGTTTCTTTTGGGGGTGATAAAAATGTTGTAGAATTAGGTGATTGTTGCACAACTGTGACTATACTAACATATACTAAAAAGCAAATATACACTGACTTTTATACATTAAAATAGTGAAGTTTATGGTATATAAATTATATCTCCATAAAAAATATGTGTACAAAAAATGGGAAATCAAAGGAAGCTTACTGCACAAAGTTTTCATCATCTTGCTTCCCTTTTCCTGCTCTAGCTCTCTAAACACACATAAAAACCAAAAAATTTAAAACTGGCACATTTTGTCTTTTAAGAGATTTCATAAAATGCCAATTGTTCCATATTTACAGTTTGTTGTTTTAACACCAAGATTTGTCATGTTTTTTAGGTAGACCTGCCTTGCTGTATTTCATTCACAAATATGTACATATCTTGCTCATTCCCACATGCTCTCACAAATTTCTCAAGCACCCACACTGTTGCAGTCTGCCTATGTTGGCAGTATTTATATCCTGAAAAAAAATCTGCCTCTTTTCCCATTGCTGTAAAAAACAAAGCAAAACAAGGCAAAAATCTCACATTACTTTGCCATATTGGTTTTATCATATGTTACCTAAGAAGTGTATGACACACAGTGTCTTTTAGAATCAAAGATCAAAGTCAGGTGCCTCACTGGAAGCACCTCACTTAACCATGAATATTTTTAACCAGAAAAAATATCATGGACCTTTATGGTTATGTTAAATCAAGTCTTTGGTTATTGATTGCACAAGATATGTCAAGTTGATATGACAAACAGTGATCAAGATGGAGAGAGCTATGGAGACATTTGTCCCTTTCTCAACTTGCAAGTCTCCTTAATATTTTTTAAAAATTACTAATGCCATATTAATCATTTTCTTTACTATTTTTCAATAATAGTTATCCACTAGAAATATTTAAAAAATAAGTCTTAGTCTCAAATAATATATATTTCAGAATGTATTAATGTAAACTTTGTATGAATCTGCAATTTGGCTGTAGGAATCTATTGTTTAGCAGACTATCTTGAACATGAATAATTTATCTTTTTTTGTTTTGGCTTTTGAATAGTTACTATATCTTAATGGATAGACAAAATTATAGAATGTCAAAGCTTTGACACTGAATTCTTTGCGAGTATACAATTCATTCATTTGTTCATTCAAAAAATGTTTATCGACCACTTGATATGTGCCAGACAGTAATAAGCAAAAGTCAACCCTTATTACGCTCATGAATTTTAGAGTCTGGAGGTAAAGACAAAATCTAGTCAGATAGTCACAGAAATTAATATGTAATTTCAAATCAAGAGAAGTGATGAAGTGACGTGAAAAAAAAACAGAATCTAAGGTAGAATAGATGAAGATAAATACTTGAGTCAAGAGTGAAAGGTAAGTTTGAGTTAATTGGACTATGTGGAGAAAAGTGCGTTCTTGGAAGAGGAAACAGCATTTGCAAAGGCTTCTGGCAGGAGAATATTGGAGGAAATTTTTAAAAGGACAGTGAGCATAAAGAGCAAGAGGAGTGGTGCATGATCAGGTTGGAGAAATCAGTGGAAATCATATTATAGAAGCCATTTATAGTCTATGTTTTTTTAAAAAATCTAGTTTTAATTATAATAGCAGTGGAAAGCCATTGAGTTTTATGTAAAGTGATGACAGGATGAGATTTGTGTTTTAAAAAGAGCACCCTGCACTCTGGAAAATAGTTTGGCAGCTCCTTTCAAACTAAAAATGGATTTACCATATGACCCAGCAATTGCATTCCTGGGCATTTATCCCAGAAATGAAGACTTATTTTCACACAGGAACTTGTACATGACTGTTCATAATGGCTTTATTCATAATAGCCAAAAAGTAGAAACTACCCATATAGTCTTTCAGTGGGTGAATGGTTTAAAAAATGGTGGTATATCCATACCATGGAATACTACTAAGTAGTAAAAAGGAGCAAAATATTGACATACACGATAAGTTAAATGAAATTCAAGGATATTGTTGTGTGACAAAGTATCTCAAAAGGATGCATACTGCATGATTTCATTCGTGTAACCTTCATGAAAGCACATAATTACAATAATGCAGAATACATTAGTGGCTGCCATTGATGAGTTAGGGATCAGGGAAGTGGATGGGTGTGGCTATAACACAAGGGAGTCCTGTTATCAGGAAATCTTGTGGTGACTGTATAGTGTAGTATCTTGATATTCTGATTGTGATCATGGTTACACAAGGTTACATGTGTGATAAAATTGCATAAGACTACATATACACAAACTTGTATGTATAACTTATAAAACCTGAATAAGCTCTATGGATTGTACCAATGTCAATTTGTTTTTGATATTGTACTATAGTTGTATGCCAAGCTAACATTAAGGGAGGCTGGGAGAAGAATGCAAAGGACTTTCCCATACATTTGTTTGCAACCCCTTGTAAATCTATAATTTTATTTTTTAAAGAGCACTCTGGCTACAAAGTGGGAGATGATTTGAACAGAGGTTAAAGTGGATGTGGAGAAAACTATTGGGTGATTATTATATTAGTCCAGAAAAGAGATAAATGATTATGGCTGAACTTGGGTGGTGGCTGTGGTGATAAAAAAGAATGGACATATATAATATATATGAAGTAAAATTTATGGACTCTGGTGATGGATGGGAAATAAGAAATTAAAAAGTGTAGTTCGAAGTAAAACTTTGTCTCATATTTCATAGCCTCGAAAATAAATACACATTTAGGACAAGACAGTAAAAAATCAGAAGGTACCATTTGATGACAGCATATTCCAGAACCAAAGTTGCTGTTGCTATGAGGTTATTTTGGAGTTTTGCTAGGCTAAAGTACACACTATTATTGTGTCAGTAACCAGTTTATTGCCTCTCAATCCCAATTTACCCTTTATTGCCTGCTCTGCAAAAACTGTGATGGACTCTTCAAATATTTTTCCTTTGCCAGCTCGCTCGATGTTATAGTTTATCAGTAGAGGGTGCTGGAGAGAGATGACTGGAGGAAGGGCTTTTCTTCCTGTTCCAGGTGCTCCTATTGGTAAGCTCCTGCAGCAAGCATGGGCTTCTTCAGCATCCAACTCCTGCAGTGCTGGCGACTTATCCAGTCCCAGGAACCTGCAATGCAAGCAGCAGTCAGAGACAGTAGCTTCCTCTGGCACAACCCGCAGACTGCACAACTGTGCATGCTCCGATCAGGTCAGGATTGCTGCTGGAGAGGGAGGGCCTCTTCTTTGGGTGCTCTACCTCAGTTTTAAGAGTAGTGGCTCCTCCTTATATCTGCTTTTCTCAGATTCTTTAGCATTTTCTTCTTTAGCAATCCTTCTCTACTGCAATCTCTTCCTATAGTCAGTAATACTTTGTATTAAATTTACCCTGTTTAAATTGTGTAAGTTTTTCATAAATTATATAAATGTCTAACCACTATGCTGTACACCTGAAATTAATATAAAATATTAAATGTCAACTCTAATTAAAAAATTAATTTTTTTAAAAAAAGCATATATATTACTATACCCCAAATTTGTATTTAAAAAAATATTTTGACAACTATTTCAACATAATTGGTTTCTTTCATGGTCTTAAAAAATAAATGTAAAAATTTCAAGTTTAAAGAAAAGTAAAGACAAACATATTCAATTTTTAAAAAAGTGTGGGTTTTGTGTCGGGATTGAATTCTGACTCATACAAGCATTTCTCAAAGTTTTCCGTTGTGATTCCCTCAACTTTGAGCTTTTGATAGTCCATCTATATTTGTCAACAAGGGTTGCTGGATATAGCTGACCAACATGTAGAGGTTGCTAAGCTGATCACAGTTTCAATTATATCATGAAAGGATTCACACCAATGTTGCAAAACTTCTGAACACAGAATTGGGTTTGATTTTTATTTCTATTCAATTTAAAACAAATCTATGATTTTCAATGTTTGAAAACAGAACTTACAGCAATATTTTTTTTCTGAAAAAATGTTTACATGTAAATCTAATCCAATTTATATTAGTCTTCATGCTTAAATGCTCCACTATGCTACCTTCCACATTATAAACAGGTAAAGTTTGAGATGTAAAAGATTAAAATATAAAAACTTCAAAATACAAGAAAATAAGGTTAAGTAAATTCCAGGCCAAGGTAAGCATGTGACAATGTTGATCATTTCTCTCTGCTTGATTGCCCTAACACTCCTGTTTTTTAATTTTTCATTCCTTCTCAACTTCCTTTATAGGCTCTTCTATCTCTGTCCGTACTTTAAGATGCCGGTGTTTCCCTGGATTCTGTTCTTGGCTCTTATTTCTCATTGGTCCTGGGTGAACTGATCCACTCTTAGGTAATGTCTCTTTCATTTGTATCTGCAGCATAGGCCTGTCCCCTGAGGCCAACATCCTTTGTGTGATTTGAGTTCTAATCTAGGGGTCAGCTGATTTCAGCCTATGGGCCAAATTCAACACACTGCCTGCTTTTATAAGTAAAGTTTTACTGGTACACAGCCACATCACTTATTTACATATTGTCTATGGTTGCTTTCCTATTACAATGGCAGAGTTGAGTAGTTGTGACAGAGAACGTATGACCTGCAAAACCTATAATATTTATTATCTGGCCCTCCACAGAATAAGTTTACTGAGCCTTGTTCTGGCCTAAACTGTGCCTTCTACTGAGTTTTAGGCATGACTGAGTGTGTATTTTTAAACAGTGGGGTAAGCCCACCAACAGTAGACTTACCTGCATCTCTCTGTATGAGAAGGGGAGTAGAGATTAGCTCTGGAACTCATAACCAAGTCCCACAAAGACTACAACAGCAAGGTGAGGGAATATTTTATTAGGAATTCTGTCATACTGGAGACATAAGGAGTATAATGCACAATGTTCATTGCTGCAGAATCACCTAGAGAGCATTTAAAGACAAATTTCAGATCTCATTCTGAGATTCTTATTTAGTAAATCTGGGAGGGGCTTGGAAATCTAAAATTTTAGAATGCTCTCCCTGTAATTCTAATATGTAGCAAGGAAGTAGTCAGGATTCGGAAGTCAAATTGATCTGAAAACTCATGGGCAAGTAAGACGGTTTTTTCTTGATGAATCATTAAAAAGAGGCCAATTTGTTTCTCTTGACTTACATATTATTTCTAAGCTTTAAAGAATTACTATAAAGAATTCAAAATCTCTTAGAATAGTTTTTCTCAACCACTCTCCTTGCACTAAGAAGTACATAATAAAAACTCTATGTTTCCATATTGACTGATATTTTCAAAGTGCTTTCACATCGTCTCTCACCAATTCTATAAGGTAAAGTGTAAGATCTAATTTGCTTTATCATATTTAGCATTTATCACACTTATCAAAACCTTGCCAATCTAGCCTGCCCAGGGCCACTTCCAGCCTGTTCTTTCATGCATTCATTCAACAAAATTTTTTGAACACTTTGTTAGGTAGCAGAGGATAACAGTAGTGATCCGAAAGAATTCCTGCCTGCATGGAGCTTAAATTCTAGTTGGGGAGAGCCTTCTCCCAGATGTGCCTCCTATACGAAAAATTTCCTCAGCTGTCCTAGTCTGAATCTTCCAAGTTTGGAAATTTTATCCAAACTTATGAGAAAAAGGGTAATATTCGTCTCCTTGCCAGCCATATCTCATCTTGTAAAACCGATTCCTCTGCTGTGGTGCTTGTCTGTTATGTAGCTGTTAAGACTATGTATTATTGGTTTCATGTTTACATCTGTTCTGACGCTGTTATGTGCATTTAACTGGGTTCTGTGGGTTTTGTCTCTGGAAGGATGACTTCTGTTTGCGGTTAGTTCTAAATCCTCACATGATTAATGAGTATTTTTCAGTGATTCTGACATCAAAATAAACCCAGTGTCTCACCTGACTGAAGATCAGAGTCTGCACCTACGGTAGTCTCTTTAGTAGAATAAGTGGAAAACCTAACAAAAAGCAGGGAGAACAGTTTCATAAAAGGAAGCGGAAGAATGTCAGAGCTAGAAGCGACCTCAGAGACGTCGCTCCACTGCCTTTTGGAGATCAGAAATCTGAGATTCAGAGAGGTTACCTAAATTGCTTCAGGTCACACAGCCCGACTGATGGACGTGGAACCAGCGGCCAAAACCTGTCTACAAGCACACTGGGAGTCTTTCTTCTAAAATTTAACGTCTAAATCAGGTCTGGCTGTCTCGCCGCTTCTACCCACGCTCCTTTCTGGTATACTAATTCCGCATCGCTCTATCTTAAAGAGTCACGTTGTTAAAACTTGAAGTTTGGGCATTCCACGAACAGGTGTCCAGACCACGGACACGGAGTCGGGGAACGTGGATATCCTCCACATGCCCGCCGAGAACTCTGCAGCTCCCGCTTACGAAGTTTTCTCGGATCGTACGTTCCGCTTTCAGATCCCCTGGCTACGAGGCCAAGATGCCTGCTGCGTGGCCTCCGACGAAGTTCAGAGATGCCACAGCCTCCCAGAAGCCGAGCCGGGCGCGTCGGCCGCAGAGCCCGGCGTCCTCGGGC